GAACAAAATAAATTTAAATAAACTTATTTTTAAAGTAAATAAATTTCTCTTTTAAAAATAAATATATACTTTATACAAGTCTCCTTTATATAGAGTTATTTAAAAAATATATATATTACATTAATTATGCCACATGATGATTTTCATTATTGTTTCAACCTAACAGTGCTACTTAATAAATAAATAAATATATATATATATATAATAACCATATTACTTATAATATATAAAAAAGATAAGGTCAAGTATGAATATGACCGACCTCTATATATAATACAATATCTAATATCTCTCTGGTAGTCACAAGAGTGAAATCAATATATAATTTTACACCCTCATCTTAATTACAAAAACCAATCAATTTAATTAAAAAAAATTTAATTAATTTAATATGTTTTCAGGATTTGGACAAAAAAGTTAAAGAAATAAAAAAAGGAATTTGAAAGATTTTAAAGAGACAAAAATATTTTCCAAAATTATACTTTTACTTATTTAAAGCATCAAATACACTTGTTATATAGATAATATGTTTTTCCTTAGTTTTTTACGTCTAAGTGTCTTGACCAGTGGTTAAACCTAATTGTATAATAGTATTGAATATAAAAGTATATTAAATATGTGAAAAAATGTTTTGTTGTCTGCAGAAGAGACTTTATTAATATATGTCATCTCTTACCAAAATTTCAATTATATAAAGTTTCTGACCCCTACATCAACATCAAATTGCATTATAGTAAAGTAAATATTAAATCATAAATAATCGATTCAATAATTTATCATATTAAATGTAAAATTTACTGTTGATACATTTGATTTATGAGATTTTTCGCAACAAACTAATTAAAATAAAATGTCAACATTATATATAAAATTTCATCATATGTTTCAATTCAAGCACTTCGAAAACTGGACCAAATCGGTGAGTCAAGTTGAAAAAATGGTGAATTGCACATCTGATTGATCAATTAAATCACAAAATGGGCCTAAAAAATGGCCGAAGAATAAGAAAATTGATAAATAAAAAATCTATTAAAATCAGTAAAAGTCAGTAGAAAATCGATTCACAACGACTCAACGAAAATTCATTATACAGCAAAATTATTTTGATTTTTTTCTCAAAAAAATGAAAAAACAACTTAAACTATTTAACTTTTTATATATATGTATTTTAAATGCAAACTTGTCACGAAATGTTGATTTTATTCTTGAAACTTAAAATTAACTATTACATATATTTGATTTGAATTTATATATACATTTTTAACTTAGATATATTCTTAGAATCTTAGTCCATGAAAAATTAACTAATTTTAATTTTGGTTATTTTGTAAAAAATTTCTTTGTTTTTCATCATTTTAAAATGGAAATTTTTGTTTTTAGTCCATAATATTTTATGATCCCTGTTAATCATATGATTAAGTGATTATTCCTAGAGACATTCACAACAATATTTGATATTATATTAGTATGTAACACTTTTAATTTTTTTAATAAATTTTTAAAATAAATATTATTTATATATCATAAAACAAATATTAGAGACAAAAATAATGACTTTAGATTTTAAATTTTAGAGGATGAATACTAAAGAAAAATATTCTATAGAAATCAAAGCTACAACTTACTTATTTTTTAAAGATAAAAACAATCATCCAAATTTTAGAGAGCTAAAAAATAAAATAAAAATTATAAAAACTAAAATAAAAACATGTTCATTTTACAGGGATTAAAAATATATTTAAATTTATTTTTTAAATATTAAAAATTATAAAATTATGTTTTAGTTTTAGTGTTATGAAAATATGAAATTATATTTCTTTAATATTATTTTTATTATTATTATCTTATTAGTAATAATTTACCTACAGTTATTAAACCTTAAATGATACTTATTCAATACTGATTATTCAATTTGTTAGTTTCACCGTTTAAGTAATTTACTTCACATCTTAAAATAAATCACCGTTATTGTAAACTAGCATTAAAAAGACATGCCGTATAAATGAAATAGAATAATCTTCTTTATTTTTCTTATAAATAAGATGCGATCATGCGATTTATATAAACCATTAGATAATTTATCACATTAAATACTGTGCAAGTTTGTTGTGAAGAAGCTGAGTTCATTGAACAAATTTTATGCAGGGTTGAGGTTCTATGGTTTCTGTCTTTAGTAAATGACCTACATTTCTCAACCAAATTTTGGTGCGTCATTATATGCACCGACACACACTATGCTCTAAACTCCTGAGCAACTCTAAACCCAAATGATGAACTATCACTGAATTTCCTTCTTTATGACCTTATTTATCAATCGTGTGCTATTAAGGTTCATCGAATTTTCCTTCACTAGCAATGCTCCATTAAGTGCCTCACCACTCCTATTCATTCTTCAAGGCATTAATTTGTAATAACAAACTCTATATACAATAAAACTCAACCCCATTTTGAGACTCATGCACCTCTTTTTTTTTCTCAAGACTCATATATATAGGGCATGCCCTTATATTCTGCTTAAAAACTCTTTGGGAGAGACCAAGATGAAGAAAACATGGTGCTACAGTGAAGGGTCAACCTCTACCTTCAACAAACAAAATAATATCATGAGCAATAGCAACCATTACCAGGCTCACTTGCCTAGCAAGGTAAGCTCACTAGCATTGTATGATGCTGCAATTTGAGTTGGAATCTATGCTCAGTGATAATTTCAGTGGAATGAGGAGAAGGATGTCATGTGTGAATGACTAACATTTTGAGGTCTACAAGGAATGGTTTGAATAATCAATACCCAAGGATGTCACTTGATGGTAGGGATGCCATGAAGTCATATGCATGTTTTGGGAACATAGAAGGAAGAAGATCACTTTGCTATGATAGAAGACTTAGTAGGGGAGGATTACTTGAAGAGAATAATGATTTAGGGTCTAAGTTTGATAAGGGTATGTTATTGCCACACACTTTGGCAGGGGAGAGGGTGGTGTGGTGTTGTAGCTAGATTAATGGGCTTAGAAGCTATACCATTTCCACTAATTAGCATAAGATCTTGTAGCAAACAAAAGATCCTTCCTGTTTTTAGGATGCAAAACCCACGAAGGATACTTGAGAGGTATGAATTTGACACATGACTAGCAAATAGCAATGGGTTATAGTTATACTTAAATTAGAGGAAGCAATGCTGATTAATTGTAGTTATAGAAAAGTTTAATTGCACTGAGGAAAAGTGTTTGATTTCGTGCAAATGATAATGCTACACAAATCGTAAGCGTATTGCTTACAAAACTTGATACCATTTTAACGAATTTGTTTACAATTTATTCTTTCACTTTTAATTGTTTCTTTTGCATTTGATATAGAGTCGAATCTTGATTTAAATTGATGTGATGGCTACTCTGTTTTGTTCCCTGGTTCGTAGTTGTTTTGGTAGGTTTGTAAATGTTAACATGAAAGCAAACATCATCTCTTTGAGGATGGACGCATTAACAATAATATAAGACAAATGAAATTCCTTATAGATCATGTCTTTGAATCAAATAATAATATACAAGTTTTTAAAAGTTTTTGAATTTATTCTTAAAAAAATTAATTATGGATTTTAAAACTAAATGAAAATATTTATAAAAAATAATCTAAATTTTGGGCAAATGTAAATTAACTTTGAATCTCAAAGCCACCAAACAACTCCGAGAGAGAAAGTGTGCAAATTGAATTATTGAAAGGAAACAGTTTAATTGTCGCATAGTTAGGTTTAGCTTAACTCATTATCCAACACAAAATGTTTCGGTTTGAATTAAGTCATATTTGTGTATAATTTTCTTCTTTTTTTGTTCAAAACCAACTTGATTAATGATGAATTGGGTCAAGTCTGATCAATTTAATCCATAACAAGCCATAAGTATTTTAATTTTTAATTGAAAATTGATTAAAAATATCACATCAACATGTTGAATCATCGAGTTTATAAATTTAAAAACAAAAATAATATCCAAAAAAAAATATCAACTTTGACAGTCAAGTTTGATGCAAATAATATCAAAACTCAAAGTAATATGTTTGAATCGGGTTGAGTTCAAAGATTATCCGAAATTACGAACACCCCTAATTATATAACTTAATTAGCACTATTACGGGTCATGCACACAATGATATTAATATTGCTATATCCAACTTGGTAAGCACGTTAGCCTTTCTTGCAAAGTATAGGAATAAGCCGTAAATATTATTATTAAGAGTCATTATTTAAAATTATTTGTCAAAGTTTTAATTTCAGCGGCCACCGTTTCTATTCGATGTTGGTATCCCAAGTCTAGGATAAGCTTTCTTGGTAGGCCCTTCACTTTGGTGTGGATAGGAAAAAGAAAGACAAAAAGGAGAAAACAAATACAGATAATAACTTAATTTTATTTAATTAAAAGATATTTTAAAAAACAATATTTTGATTGCTTCTTTTATTTCCTTTTAATTTAAAATAAAAACTCTCTCTAAAAAGGGACTAGCTTCTGCCAAAGGTTGGTCCCAAATACAATCAATACGCCAAAGCCGAAAATGAAAGGATGTCTAATTTGTTTCTCTTTTTTCGTAAAAGTTAAATAGCAAAGCAAAAAAGTCAAGGTTTCACGATACTACCAATGGGCTGATAAATTATCGATATTCAAACTAAGGGATAAGATATCTCTATCCCCATTACATCATTTATTTACATATAATTATAAATCATTAGGGTTAGTGTGCCCCATGCCAGAAACTTCAATTATTAATAAATATTATATTTAGATGATTAAGACAGCCACCAATTTCCTACGACGTAAACATTACAAATGAATTATTATCAGAAGATTAGCGAATCCATCAAAGATTATACTTATCTCACTAATCAAATATTCTATGATGATTAGCCAAAACAATCCAACAGCATTATAAGATTATCATAACTTTCGACATGTAATTATCTTTTACTTGAGATAAGGTTGTACAATCACGTGTTGCACTAGTTACGAAACATCAGAAAATAAAAAGGCTGAACATAATTTTATTTATCTTAATAATGATCACATAAGATAGAGGGGGGAAAAGATTAACCAAATGCCAAAGTTCAAGGTAAATCAGGCTTACAAAACTTAAAAGAACAAACAAACAGAGCATACTAATTATTTAGCATTTTACATTAACTTGCTCGTAGAAACCAAACACTACACGGTAGAATACTTGAGTCAGCAACAGACCAATTAATTCCTGACACATAGTGGTAGTAGTAGATGCATACGTGGCACGTGCTTAACAGAAAACGACAATATTTACATGCAACCCACGCGCTTCCTACACACCTCAGCGGTGCCTGCTCCTGGTGTCCCCGCTGTAGAGCCTGCAATCACATACAACCCGCTTCATTATTCCACAACTACATACAGATCTAACCGTTTGATTTAAGTCATATAAGATCAGCCGTTGATTTCAACAAAGATCTAACGGCTCTCATCACCCCCCATAACAAAAACAAGTAGATCAACAACACCCAAGCCACAATGATATGAAACTGTTAAGGACAACTTGGCAAAAAAGAAAAAAAATATCCATTACTTTTCTTTTATAAAAATCTCATGTAACCCAGTGACTACTGAGTACTGACCAGTGAGAGTTAGATCTAATCACATGCATAGAGTTAGATCTAATCACATACATACCATTGTTTTCTTTTAATATTAAAAAGGATCATAGTAAAAAAATAGAAGATAAAAGATAGATAGAGAGAAGCATTCTAACGTAACTAGTCTTATAGCATGATAATAAACTTCTTATTGTGTATATATTTGTATGCACCATGCAAAGTTAATAATAAGGTGTGTGTGTGTGTATATACCAATCATAGACAGTGGGAGAGTTGGGGAGTGGTTTGTCAAACATTTGAGCACCAATGGTCTTAGTGGCAGAGTTACTCCCAGGATGGAAGACGCTCCTCCAAACGTTGTCAGCTTTACGCGCCGATCCAGGTGTCGTTGGAGTCGTCGGAGTCAGAGGGGTTGTCGGTGTCGTGGGCATCGACAAGTTCCTCTGAAACTTGCTACTTTCTCCATCATCTTCATTAAAAACATGACAAACATGCATGTAAGAATTTAATTATTATATGTATAGATATTGTTATAAGGTAAGGTAGGTACCAGTTTTGATGCTGGTGGCGAGTTTTCTGAGCTTGTCAAGGCCACTGTCGGGTTGAGGGCCAGCCACAACATCATCCCAAATCTTGTCTAGCAGAACCATCTTGTAAGGAAGGAATGAAGTCTTTGCTCTTGATGGATCGGACGATGAAAACCTGTTAATGGTGATCTTGATGAGTTTGTTCACACTGTATATATAGAGGGTGATGCCTAAAAATAAAATATCTCTTACCAAAGTGGGAAGGAGTGTTTTGATGCTTCCAAGTGTAACTTGTTTTTGTTACGATGTGGCAATAGTGGAAATTGGAGTGGAACGAGTGAGAGAAAAGTGGATAAGGATGAAGACTTGGTAAATGTGGGGCCCACGATATAATATCTTGGTTAGTAGGTGGGTAGTGGGTTGCCTCACAAGTGTGTCGTTTGTCCTATTCTTCAGAGCTATGTGGGGATGATGGGATAAGAAAGGACTTTAATTCATTGTTGACCCCACTCTTTGTTTTATTTACTGCTAACATTGATCATGTGCAATGGTGCATGTCAATTAGGATATGGCCTAGGTATGGAGGAGGAACCATCTAGATTTGGAGATAAATTCTTTGTCCTTCCACGGTAACAAACAAGTGAACAATGATATATAATTCATATTGTATGAATAATCAGTTACCAAATACTGTATTCCTTTAATAAAAAAACATTATATAGATACTTTTATCATATTTAAAATAAATATTAAAAATAATTAATTGAATTTCTTTCAAAAGCTTTGTAAATGTTTAATTGAACATCTCATATTAATAATATGACCATAATTGTTATACAAGTATTACAAATTAAATTTATAAAATTCAGTTAGATTTTGATTTATAAGATTAATTATTTTCACTTTAATATACTCAGCGTTTTAAAAAAGTAATTTGAAATTTAACTTAATTCTATAAAAATGACTTGTAATACAAATAATATTTTAAACAATAAAAAGTTTATAAACAACTTATTTATTCTCTCTCTTTATTTTGATATAAGAGAAAATAAAATAAAATAAAATCACAGCTAGGGATGGCAACGGGGCGGGGCGGGTACGGGTTTTATGATACCCGTCCCCGTCCCCGCAAGTAAAACTCATCCCCATCCCCGTCCCCATACCCGTCGGGTATGGATTTTCATCCCCATCCCCATCCCCGTCGGGTATCGGGTATACCCGTACCCGTACCCGTACCCGTCAATTTTTTTATTTTTTATTTTTTTTAAAAAAATAATATTTTTTAATTTTTTTTATTATATTATAATTATAATTA